TGATATAGATATTAAATAACTTTCAACAACTTTCCTTGCATATTTTCCCTGATAATCGACCGTTTCCAGACTTATCAGAGACCCTGTATACATCCTGGCTTAGACACATTTCATTAGTCGTCTCAGATGGCATTCGTAAAAAGTAATTGAATTTTTACAAAATAAGAATAGACACTATCATAGCTCATAATGTAACCGCGTATTCAATTTTGGAAATTGCTTACAAATGATGGAAACTAGCCAGAAACATATATTACTAAGGGGCTAAGGCCTTAATACAAAGGCTTCTGGGTCCTAAATCAATACGAATAAATATTTTACTTTTAGAGTGGGTACACACAAGGATGCGGGTACACATACCTATATCAAACAGTAATTGAATAGAGTCGCTTTGATAATTTCATATGTCAAATGTAAAGTGTAGCTGTGTCAATGATGAACGTAAACGAAACGTATCTATGGAATTCATTTCATTCAAAGCAGACACTTTTCATTATATAAATATTATGGATACAATGGCATCCGGGAAGTTCGTATTAGATAGTAAATGTTAATGCAATTAAGAAAAGAATGTATATGCGACAGAAAGACAAAGACGGCTTAATTACATACGTGCTCTTGAAGTACAAATTTATATCAATGCTCACTAAAAGCCAAAGCATGTGTATCTTGTAGTGTTCCTTGTTCTTTGTTATGGGAATGCATGCTCGAAAGGCGATAAATTCAAAACTTGACTCCAATAATCGTTTAAATACACGAAAGCGCTTTTCCCCTCAAGAACTAAAAATATCGAATTATGCACGAGAAAAGAGACGAACCGAAAGCTAAGAAGAAAGACAGACGTAGGGATTGTATTTCATGTTGGGGTAAGTTTAGAGCAGCTGTGTCAAAAGCAAGGTGTTACGGCACGCGTTTGTTTAAGGATGTACACGTGGTAAAATAAATATTTAGTCTTTAACAAAACGATCATAAATTTTAGGAATATCCCTCACTGAATGCCGGTGATTGGGCGGGAATATACGCAATTTAATATTTGATTGCCTATTGTGCTTCTTTTCCCAACGAATTTTGGCATTCTTCATCAGGTTTATAATTTATATTTTTATACCTATAGTTGACTATTTGAGGGGCGAATCCTTCATGTCAATGGATGAATTACAATAATAAAACCAATTTTCGGGGTTAACTATAGGTGGCGGGGAATGGAAATTACAACGCTTTTTCCATATAAACTTTTGTTTGATAATGTCGCCGTCGTTAACATAGCAACCCCCTAAAAATGAACTGCTACGGAAGAAAAGCGGAAGACGGCATATGAAGATCGTTACCGGGGAAAAATGATCTACTAAAGCCTAACAAAATCTGATTAATGGCCTATGTCACTAATTAAATTTAAAACGATACCTTCGACTTTAAGAAATTTACCCGCGAGGGGGTGAGACGATACGATGCTGGTAAAGTAGATTTATAAATTTTCGAAGGCATAAATCAAACTAACGGAACCCAAAACTATCTTTCCATAAATGCTCTCTTTTTTCCGTACAAATGGAACTGAAACCAATCTTGCTTACATTATTAATATCTTTAATTATTTAGGAAGAGTAATCGGCGTTTAAATCAAGCCAGATAAATATTTAAAATAGCTCAACGTATCAGTCAGCGGCATAAACATTTTCTTTCTTCTTAGGAGAAGTTTCATTTGAAGTAACAAATTTATAAACAAATTGTAAAAAAAGGAATCAAAGAATTAAAATTAATTAGCGTGTGTAGCTGTGAATAAATATTTCTGAGATCAGTCGGCTCGTCGCATTGATTATTGTTAATTTACTTATGCTATTAGGGAGTGAGAGATTAACAAATCGTGCAAAGTAGGTACGTGCAGAGTAGGTATATACTCTAAATTCACCTCATGCTATAATCATAGCTATAAACTAGTGTTTTATCACTAACGAGGCTATTGTTAGAACTTGTTTAAATACACTCGTTTTATGCTTAATTACTTTTAGAATTGTGCATGTGCGGAGTGAAATCTGGTGTTATACTGACGACTTAATGTGAGTAAACAGACGTTTTTGTTGTTTCTCTGTAGCAGTTATTCGTTTTTGCAGAAATGAACTTTTATACAAAGTACTCGTATGTAATGAATCCATTTGTACATACATGGTACAACATGCGTTTGCAAAATAGTATTCATAATGAATTTCGATTCATTCTGGAATATTCTCGAATATGCATTCATTTACAGTCACGTACGTCACCCTGTCCGTTTTTGAATGTTGCTCTTAGATCACATACCTATATTCCATAGATATAGCCTACAGCCACTAACTCGGCATATGTGAGAGAGATAGCAAACAGTAGAATACCGAACATGCGTACTGAGTTGATATTTTCGGAATTTCACGCTTTCACTGGCATGTGGCGTGTTATTCTACTCGTAGTTTCACACCAGAGACGCACTTGAAATTCTGGTCTTGTGTATGAACAAATGTGTTTTAAAATTGGTTTTTACTAGCTGACAAAATCATACCGGTCACATTTTAAATCCTTGGCAGATGCATGTCGTAACAAATGTTAGATGCGTTTTAAGACGAAATCGCACTTCAGATCCTTGGTGGTGGTGTATGTGAATAAATGTATTTTATAGTTAGATTTATCATTCGTTGCATAGTGACACTGGACTCATTTTAAATTCTTGGTCGTCTCGTGTGTCAAGATGCTATTACGCATCTGTGGTGTTCTACTTGCAGTGCAAAATATATCTGTCTGTCTGTCTGTGTTAGGTTATGCTAGCACAGATACTGCTTATTGAAAGTAAATGGGAGGTTAAGGGTGAGTGAGTGAGTATGACGTCATGTCGAACGATTTTCATAATTTCGTATAATATTCTTGACACTTTGCGCCAATTTTTCCAATCTCCAATGCTATTCAAAGTAGCCGTACCTGCCTTCCATTTCTTCTGCATACGTTTATTCGTAAAATTAGTGGATGTTTTCCCTGTCACTAGACGTTGGCCCACCCTGTTAGGGTCCTAACTCTATCACCACAACTGCCAGTTTGAACGGTACAAACGCAAACGAGATGCTCAGGAGCTGAACGCACCAGCAACAAAATATCATACACAAATACGAGAAATTAATCAACTACAGTTACAGAATCAAATATCTCAAATCGTACAATGAAAATCAGGTAGTCGAGTCAAAATGGACAATAAGGACAAATCAATTTAGTACAAAAACACATGAAACACATCTACGATCAATTTATACAAAACAATTCCAAAAATGATAAATTGCATGTACCTAAAGAACATGAAAATGGCATGGCTCTGCTCTGGCATGTGTTACCATTAAATTGAACACAAAAACGTGCAGGTGACAATGCACACATTCAAGCTCGATTATTACACAAACGAAATTAGAGGTCCCTCTGTTCGTATTGCTAAGACACAAAACAGCGAAGAATCGAACCAGTATTAGGTGCTTTCTCCACGGTAAAGGTAGCGGTCCGCCGTCGACGGCCACATCACGACTACTCAAAAACATGTCGGAACGCGAACGTCACCAACATGCCGACCGCGGGCCGCTGCGTCATCCAGGAGGGCATTGTAGCGGTGTATCATGAATCTCACCTTTAGGCACAAGAGGTGAGGCATTAGGTGACGTCACGTTGATACATTCTTGCCAAACCGTTGAAGGTACTTCACGCATGCGATGTTAGTCAAATAACAATCATGTTATGCCATTGGCAACATAACCTATAAGTTACCATTTTAAAAGAATCTGGCGGTATCAACTTTGTAGTAGGCAGAGCTGGGTAAAGCACTCTGAGAAAGTGCTTCAAGCACCAAGCACCAAGCACTCGCAAACAGTACTTGCAAGTTCCAAGCACTAAGCCCTTTGGATTTAAAAAGTGCTTGCAATTACCAATTACTCTTAAAAAGTAATTTACAATGACAAAGCACCAAGCACCAAGCCTTTTACAACAAGCCTTCCAAGCACTGTGCTTGTACACAAAAGGCTTGCAAGCACTTTATTGCTCGAAAGCCCTTTGGTGCTTGAAAGCACTTTAGGACTTGAAAACAATGTCTGGCTTATTGAAAGTGCTTTCAAAGCACTCTGGGGTTTAAAAGCACTTTGGGGATCGATACAGCAGATTAGGCTGAAGGTTGTCCGCTCAAAATAAAAGCGATATAAACATTTGCCCTCTTAGAATGAAGGTAATACAAATACAAACATATTTACCTATTTGAGAAAAAAAACTGGTCAAAGTCCTCGTTTAAATTGAAGGGCCTTCAGCGCATTTTTGGGTGGCAGATCAGTATTCTATTAAAGGGATTTAAAAAATCAGCTGTTGAAAAACATTGCCCCCGAAAAGGATCTCGACCTTCTGCGTAATGCGTAATGATAGAAACGTTCTTTATTCTTATCTTAATGATGTCATGTATCCACATCGTAATAATGATACCTATAACTTTATTAATTCATAACTTCTACCGTCTGCCGCTAGCTGCGACGTGCGTTATTACTTATTTATGTTAAGACAACCAGTTGATTTCAATACCGTACGTCGCACGACGCTTATACTTTTGCTAAATTAAGTTTTTTCGTGTTTAATGAGGGTTTTATGCTTCAAAATTGTTCGATGCCCCACTAACTCGATGCAACTGACCTAATGCAACAAATTTGAGCTCTTTACGATGTCTAGATCCAAAGTTTTTCTGGCACAGCCAGCCGGACATCAAAGCGTATGATTAAGCTACATTTTTTTTCAAAAATGCGCAAAAAATCAGATATATTATTGGTTTGGTAACAAGTTTGCATTAAATAATAAACATTTTTTGGTATATAATTTAAATAAAAAAAAAGTTCATTTGTCTGTTTACAAAAAGTCATTAGATACAATAAAAACGAACAAATTCTAACAAAATAAAATAAGAACACACTGAACACAAAAAATGCATTAAGTATTTATGATAAACTAACGTTGAAACGATAAAATTAGTTTTCATAACAGCCATTAGCTTTTAATAACACGAGGTTTTCAAAATTTGTATCAGACAATGCATGCCTTTTAGGAGCGTTGATAATCGACGCGAATGAAAACATACGCTCGACTGGAGCGCTTGAAGGAAGACTAGTATTGTATCTTATGAACAGCTTGTTAATGATGGCATAATCGTTGACACAAGTTAATGCAGAATTCGGATCGTTACTGTAACGCATAATTTCAAATTCCACTTCATTGACAAAGGTACTTGAATTTAATTCTAATTCAGTAGTCGCCTCATTGAAGTCAAAGAAATCGTCCTTTTGCGGAAATCTTACTTTGCTTCTGTCGCTAGTTTCATTTTCAGCGCATACATTTTTAGCAGCCATGACAATTATCTTATTTATATCTTGTAAAGATTTTATAGCCGTATCCTTTATACCATTATACCACCTGAGCTTAAATTGGGGTATAGTGAATGCCGCAATAATGGCATTATTTGCCTCGTCTGTCAATGTTAGTAGATTTTTGAATCTAACCTCTAAACCATTAAGACATGCATCTAGAATGTGGTTGGTCTGTTTTAAATTTGCCGATTGCATTTTTACAAACTTTGTCCTTAGAGACACAATACATGGTAACAAATATCCATAATAATTATTATTTTCAGCTTGCAACTTATCTAAAGCGGTAGCAAGAGGTTCAAGAACTTTGCAGTATTCGTTCAGATAAGCAAGTTCCGATTCTTTAAGCGAGTTCTTCAAACCTAGCTTTAGAAATAATTCGCTCAGCTTGTTTTTTTCTTTTACGATTTGACTTATGGAGTCGTAATACGAGTTCCAGCGTGTCACTCCGGGATAACTTAAATAATGACCCAGTACGTTTTTTACAATCTCTGCAGATTTCGGATACGAGCATTTATTCCACAGTAAACTACACTTGGCCATAATTGCAGTATGTCTGCTTCTTGTCGCGTGATTTTTCTCAATTGCATTCTTCACATCAGTCACCGCAATTAAATTAAGTGTATGACTGGCACAGCGCTCGTGGTGAGGTAACTGTAGCATTACCGAAGTTTCCTGATTATCGCAATAATCACTATTAATTGAAACAAATGAGGGTAAAACATCGTCAATATCCTCTATTTCATTATTTTCATCAGTATTACCACTATTTGCAGTACTGCCAAGTTCATTACTGTCGAGTATTGTATGTATTTCATTCTCATTATTGACGTTTCTAAAAATTAATTCAGATGGTATGTCAATACCAAATTCTTTAAATGCCTTAATGAAATTGGCACCGTTGTCAGTTACAGTGGCAACAATTTTGTTCGAATCCAACTCATACTTATTATGAATTTCGTCTAACATTTCGGCAATCCTGTTATAAGAATGAGTTCCCTGAAATCGACGACATGCTAATGCAGCAGAATGTCTTTTCAAGTTAGAATCTAACCAGTGGCAAGTAACGCCCAAAAAACTCCGTTTTTTTGCACTCCATATGTCACTTGTGGTGCATACATATTTTACTGATTTAAGTTTGTTAACTAATGATTCCACACTATCCTCTTGCAGCCTGTTAATCTTTTGAATAGCTGTTTTTCTAGTCATAACAGTTAAGTTCATACCATCAAACAGTTTAATAAAATATTTATTTTCTACTGTATTAATGGAAGACATAGAATTAACAATAAACGTTAACAACCTCTTGTTAAATTCATCTTGGCTAACCCTTTGCCCACGATAAAAGCTAGATTCTATGGTTGTTTGCTTTTTTAAAATCCTTGCATTCTCGTTTGAACTACCTGCTAATTTTTTTTTACATTGGTCTAAGCGAACCTTCTTGGTTTGAATGTATTTTTGGTATTTTTCTGTAAATTCACTANAAAAGAATCTGGCGGTATCAACTTTGTAGTAGGTATTAGTCGAAGAAATAAGACCTAACAATTAAAGAGTTTTCCCTTACTATTTATCTGATAAAAGAGAAATTTAACATACTTAAAGGAATGGGTGTATCTAGAACATAAAAATAGAATAATAATAAAATAGATTTCTGAAGCCAAATGCCTTTAGAGGGCTCTTGAAAGTACATGGAAATCGCTGGAAGGCCTTTAAAGAATAGGATATTATAAGTAGAAATTCTATTGCTCAAAGCGGCTTTCTTAAATACCCTTAATCATTTGCTCTTATACGATCTTAAACATTTTTTAGCACTTACAAATATAAAATCTCATTCCCTTTTAGGTCTGAAAAAATCGTGACAACCGCGCTCGCTTCCCCCAATACGTTTCTTATTATCGCCAGACTTACTTTCGTTCAACTTTGCTACGAAGCGGTACATGTGAAAATTTTCCTGTTTGCCAAAATGCAAAATCAAGGCCGAATTTTTAATTTGACAAAGCGACCACCTATTATACTATTCTTTTCACTCCTTTCGTCGTCATCCTTGTTTTAAAACCCCCTTACTTTTTCATGTTTTTTTCGCAGTAATGATTTGTCTAGATTTCTTTCCACCAACTCCAACTCTTGCCCCAAATCTCCCATCTTATCCTTCATTTCTTTATTGTAAGTCCTTCAATCCCCTTCGGGATTCTTTTACACTTTCACACTTCACTTGTACCTCTTTAAGCCACCCCCTGCCTTCCCCTTTATTCGTATTCTCCACGATCCTCTTCCGTCATTCCTACTTTAAACCACCTTCGCTCTCCCACATTTCTTCCTTTGCGTTTCCTATTCTTCGACCCTTAGCAGATCTCTTTGCATGTCCAGTTCACGCCTCTTTAACATCGCGCAGTCGTCACCTCTTTGGTGCCTCTTTTCCATCTTCCCTTTACCTTTTCCTATTTTCTGTTGTTTCATATTTTCCTCTCATTCATTTTTAGCGCATTTTTTGAGAATTAAAAAAATGTACTATTGTTTGCGTTGCGTCCGCCCGTCCGTCCGGACCCACATCGGCGGTTTTGAATTACTTCAGGGGAATTGTTCTAGGGGCGGAGAGGCTTGGAGTTTGTTGCAATACATTCTACCCTTCATGGTAATGAAAAACAATTGTCACTTAAAAGTTATGAAAAAATGTAGGAGTCGTTGTTGGCCGTTCTACGCCTTCGTAATTTCCAGCATCGTTCTCTTTCAGACGTTACCTGCTGTAAAAATTTTAGTAACTGTTGAAATGCTTAATATGGGTAAATTTGATTTTAAATTTATAAAATATTCACTTATGCCCGTCTCAAACAGAAGTTACTAGCAGAAGTGAGGCGCTAATTTTCTTGTTTTCATTCGAAAAATTGTTATCAGTCACAAGCTGTCAGTCTGATGTAAACTTATCATTCGTTCTAATTTTGTGCTCTCGTTTTCTAGCGCAGAATGGCCGTTTGCCAAGATCTCAAGGTCTCAAATAGCAAATGCAGACTTACATTACCACCATAAATCACGGCTAATTAACTTTTTACCAAAAACAGGCAATAATAAACTTAATTGATACGATTGTATAAATGGCTACAAGGTAACGGCGTCATTGCAGAAATCGAATATGATTGATTTGATACGTATGCGTGCATTATGCGTAAAGGAGGGCAATGCGTGTTGTAGTTTGAAGTGGGTCCCGGTCAATATAATAATAATGCCCATCAAACTAAGTCAAATCAATTCGTGATTGAATCTATTTGCCTTGAATTATTTACGATTTAATAGACGTGTTTGTTTTTATACTGCGAAATTAAAAGGTTTTTCTGATTAATCCTCTCGAATTAGCCATAAAGCGGTCTTAATCACTCGCATTTTTAATGCAGATGCCGTTTGAGACGGTTGTTTGTATCGCTAACACTCAGCTGTTCGACGATAAACGAACAGCCTGTATCCATCCTTGCGTTTCGAATGTAGCGAAATAGGGATTATAACTTCTCTCTGGCTGGCTTTTGGTAGTTTCTGCAGGGGTGTAGAGGCGGCTTTCAGGAACGAGGGGATCTCGAGCTTTACGCGAGGCGACATATGTGCGCGTTATAACGCACTGTACTCTACAGCATCATGCGTGTCGTGGATATGTGATAAATTGATCCTTAAATTATCGTGTCTCATAAGTGCAATCAAATTACCCGGCCACATGTAAACAGCGATCGAATTCCTGTCGATATATTTACACGCTCTTATTGAAGACAGTTAAGCGTAATTGTGCCTTAAATCTGTCAGCGGAAATAAACGTAAAACAACGCGTTTAGGTAAGTTCTTTTTTACTTCAAGACCGAAATTAAAAATGTAAACTTTTAAATGGAAACTGGGAACATAAAGTATGTCTGTTTATAGGCTTTACGCTCATACTACGGAAGTAGTGCTATGTTTAGCTTGAGTCGCTGCCGCTTTAAGCTTTGCAAATTACATTTTATTTAGCCTGCTGGTATTATTTTAAGTGGGGATGGTGTGAAATTGCACTCCACTCCACATTGTATATTTTACCGTGACGAATAATGTGAAATTAAACATCCCTTTTTCTAGCGCCGGAGCATGACGAATGCATATGCGGTTTGCGAATATACTTAAATCATTTTATTTATAGCGTATAAGTGCTAATTGCTTAAATGATTAATTTTATAGTATGTGGCGGATCTTCTTTTTATTAGATGTAAACAATTAGGTAGTGAGACGCTCTGTTCAATGTCCTATAATTTGAAAACACCAGCGCGGAAAATTGCGATTAGGTTTTCTAGATTTATTCGATGTGTAACAGGAAAATAGTTGTAACCCTTGTGAAAAAAACAATTTTACCGGAAAATTTGCTTCGGAAGGTATGCGGCCAACTTCTGTGCAAGTTCCCAAATGGATAATGATCTCCAGAATCCATTGTTCCTCAATGTTCCAAAATTCGTTTCCCTGTAGTTTTTGAAAAATCCACTTGGTGCGAGGGAAATCGAAGTAGATCCACTGTACATAGTAGTAGATATCGGTGGATAAACGCAACTAGTCGTAGAGGAAGATGACCTAGGAATATTTATACTCCCTCCAAATGCTAAACTACTACCTAAACCTATCCCGCTTAAATTTGAAATCGAAAAGTGGCACGTGATCAAACATCTAAGACAAGACGTTGGTTGTAAACAACGCTATGACCTGAAGTACAGTAGGGTGGGAACGTAAAATAAAACACCGAAATTGTTAAAAGTTTGTTTAATAATTATTGCTCATATTATAAAGCTGGTGAAAGTTCAGAAATTTAAGTGCAAATAAATTACATTCCAAGAATAAACTTGCCAAGAAAAAAGTGGACAAATTAATATTCAGTCATTAGTTATTATGACGGGCTAACTAAAAGAATTGATTAGAAATAGGGTATTAGCAAGGTGGCTCTTTTTTGATACATAAAAACAAATACGCACATAAATACATATTATATCTCTGTCGTATGATAGGTGGTTTATTTGCACTTTTACCTGCAACGCACGTCGAGATTTCAAAACGAGGACGTATCTCACATATTCGAAATACGTCGCCCTGTTTAATATTAATATTCATTATTATCCGACACAATTAATGCAAGGAGCACAACTTTAATAATAACATTACAACAAAACAATGAAACATGTTGTGGCAAAATATTCGTGTCAAGTGTAATTATTCAGAAATCTTGACCTTTGATTAATAAATTGAAGTTTAGGATACCTAAGCAGGTAGCAAAAATTATAAGAAATATTGATGGAAAATTACATGGTCTTGTAGGGCAAAGTCAATGTTACAACAAAATATGTGGGAATCAGTGAATCGCAACTCACATATCACACGTAAAGTCTAAACTGAATTTCGCCCCCGAGATAGATAACTCGCCCCTCGTTCGGGGTTTCGAGTCCATAGTTGATTGTCGAGATCAGTCCCGGTATTGAATGTCGTAACTCATTTAGTTACCGCTTTTGCCGCCCCAGTGACCGGCTCTTCAGGGCCAAAATGTTAGTTTACAAACAATACCTCAAACAATTCAATAATTTCTACCTGTTTAAAAGAATGATCGTAAATATAAATCTAAGTTAGAGCCAAGACCATACAATCGAAACATAAACAACAATTTAGCAAACATTACACCAAACATGAACGCGATTTCAAACAAAAGGTTAACGGTCTCAAACCTCGTCTCAAACATATGAATCTGCATTGAGGTTAACTTAAAAAAAAATGATTGAAAATAAATTTAAATTTTATATTTTTGTTTAAATTTTCACAGCTGCTGCGATTGGCTCTAAACACATAACTGTAGCTTTAATTTCTAAGGTAATTATAACATATTTGATATAATTGTAAAGAGAATTTCAAGCTCTTTAAAGATATTGCAAAAAAGTAACCGTTCTATTTAACAAAAAAACAACTTGTTTTCTGATGCTCTTTTGTTTTTA